GTTCACCGATCTGGGACCCGATCGTCGTTTGGGTCACGTTTTAGGTGGTCACGATTTATTCTGCCCGTGACAATATCTAGAAATGATGAATTTGATTGGTTGGTAATCATGTGGATGCATTTATGGAGTGAGTTTTTATAAGTGGGCCGGTGTTGTAACCGTTGTCATGGTGACATACAGTATGCGATTAACATGTTGGAAAATAAGGGTAAAAGTGATCGATCGATCAGAGTCTTGAACACGTGACTCACGTGATGATCGATCGGAAGTATAGACGGTCGGTAGTATGTTTGGAATACCGAAGTAAGATCAAGAGAGAGATCAATTATGCATTGATAGGTAATGCAAGATAGTTTATTATTAAGTTATGCATGAATAATCAAATAAAATATGTAAGAACTCGCCGAATAAAAGACAGTTATTTATTGTCAATGGATAAAATTTGTGATGAGAAAAAGGTCGAATTAAGTGATGAAAATGAACGCAGGAGAGAGAGAGAGAGAGTTTAAAATATGACCGAGAACGAGAGCAGGAATTAACAAAACGAGCCATAGCAGGTAATTTAAGAGACAATGGTCGTATGATCAATATATGATGTAACGATTAGAGTCAAATATGTATATAAGGATCGAAGCGAAAGTAGTTTAGTTTAGTTAGTCAGTTTGTATTAGTTTAAATTTGTATTAGTTTAGTTTCGCTCTATTAATTAATAAACTTCATTTGAATAGTAAGTAAAATACCTGCCTTAATATAAACATTGATATCCGGTATTAGCCAAGCGATCAAGTGCTCCCCATCCGGGTTAGGTCATTCTGTGACGAAAGTTGTAGATTAACCCGTGACACGAGAACCTGGGCAAATTACCAAAACCTCACAACGATTATACAGTCCACAGAATGAACTTACTATGCTGGTACGAGTATGATGGTGCAGAGAAGGAAGAAGATGCCGATAAGGATAAGAGTAAAGTATCCGATGAAGATCCGAAGCCTGATGCACCAAGTCGTGGGATAAATTTATTCGAATGTTTATGGGATAACGTGGGCTGTGATAATTCTGCAGAGAAGGTAGAAAGTGTAGAAACAAAGACGGTTAATAAGGTGAATACTGATAGAGATGAAGAAGGCAAAACGGATATGAGTGAATCGAAAGTGGAGAACTTACCCAAAAGTCCTGATGAGGAAAGGATCGAAAATGATAAAGTTAAAGCATTCAAATCTTGCTGAAAATCTTCCTACTTATAATACGCTAATCTCTGTCACAAAAAAAGTAACGGGCCCCATGAAATACCCCTGCGTTAGCAGGGGTATTTTATGGGGCCCGTTACTTTTTTTTGTGACAGAGATTAGTGCATCATAAGTAACTCCGTTAATCGGAGATTTTAAAGTCCGCCTTAGTGGCGGGTCACGTGACTTGTGCCATTTCGCATTCCTGCGAAATTGGCAAAATTCAAACTCCGCTTCGGCGAAGTTTGAAACTCCACTAGTCACGGTTATACATTTATTAAATAAATTAAACATAATAAAAAAAAACAAAATTACTATTATCGCCAGTATCACCAGTCCTAAGATTTGTTAGGTTTAGGGTTAGAAATTAGAGAATTATTTTTTTTATATAATATATTATAAAGCTATAAGGGCCCGATAGGGCCCGATCTCAGTTTTCGTGAGGTTTTTGGAGGTCCTGAACATTTTTACTTAGAAGACCTGATCCCATTTACTTAGTACGTTTTTGAGATATAGCAACACTGGTGATGATCACCAGTGGCGATAAATAGCAAACTCCAAAAAAAAATAATAAATTAAAGAAAATTACTACCTATCACCACTGGTGATCATCACCGGTCCTAAGATTAGTTAGGGTTAGGGTTAGAAATTAGAGA